AAGAGTGTGCATGTTTAGGGCAGATGAAAGATTTTTAAGTATTTTCCATTCATTTTTGGTTGAATCCATGGATGCAAAAACCTGTAGATACAGAGGGCTGATGGTATATTCGTAAAATGATCATTGCGACAACAGCTAGACAGAGGTTATTCTTCTCAGTGTAATATCATTAGGAATTGACTTGGTCAAGCTCATGTGCAATGCACACACTTATTCAGACCCGAACAGTCCACTATGGAATGTGCAGGAATTAACACAGCCTGTTGGTCTCTAGGCTTGAAAACATGCTTCCTACAGAGGGGCAGCCAGTCCTTGGCCAGGTGAGTAGATAGCTCCAAAGTTCACCTCAGCTTGTTCCACGAGTACAGAATTTCACACTCCTAGACCAACCTCTGCATTATCAGTTATGCCTACAACTGGCCATATTAGGCGAAGTGGTACTTGACCTGCTGGGGCCAGCACACCTCGCCTTGGTGGGTGATTTCAGAGGTCAGGAATGTCAGATAGGCTTATCCAGGCAGGAGATAGCAGCCTGGCACTCCTAACTTCATCCCTCCTACCCCTACCTGTCTGCCTCCCGCACTGAGGTTCGCTAAGGCAGCTCAAGAGCCACAGGATAAGTTAGGCTGTGAGTACGAGTCCAGGCCTGAGGTCCACATCGGGAAAGTACTGTAGAGGTGAAGAAGGGCAAGGGTCACATGCAAAATGGAAAGGTATGGCCTGACCTTGCTAGATGCTCACAAAATACAGATATATATTCTTTGACAAAATAGCATAAGGATTTTCATATGTCAGCTGGCCCCATTCCTGCTGTGACAAGAGTCTGTGAGTCATTTCCTACCAGCATGTTTTTGCAGCAATGATGTACAAATGTCTTCTGTCTGTGATGGTCATGAGTACTGAGCAATCCCATGGAAGGTGGTAGACAGAGCCCTAGGCTAGACTGGTGCAGAGGCTCCGCCGCCTGGACTGGGGCTCCTTGTCCATGGTTCCCTGGGGTCTCTGTTTGAGTACAGGACTGTCCCCTCACAGCCTGTCTACCTTTCTCCCTGGTTCTTCCTATAATCCATCCATTCTGGTTTTTGGCTTTTCCCATCCCTCTACTCTCCAACCCCCTCTTTCCCATTACATAGATACCACTCTTCCTAAAATAAGACTGTCTCTGCCTGCACTCCCTCTAGCTGTTCCTTCAGCTTTACTAGGCAAACTTACAGGTCAAGCCCCACATCAGTCCTCCTCTTCCAGGAAGCAATCCCAGATTACACCTGTCACAGTCACTTGTTTTTCTACAGTCCTACATGCTAGCACACACACACCACTCACATAGCACTTAGGATATTAATGATAATAATAGTTAAATATTTACTGATTGCCTTCAACATTGTAAGGACTTAACAAAGATTATCTTATTTAATCCTCAAAGTAACTCTATGAAGTAAATATTAGTAATATCCTCAAGAATGATACAGATATTAAGTGACCTGCCCAAGGCCACAGAGTGATGGAGAGGCTGATAGATAACTAGATTAGTCCCTGGAACACAGTAGCTACTCAACTATTCATTTCATGAATTATTAAACAAGTGAATTTACATTTCTGTCTTCATTATAGAAACTCAAGAGAGAAGCACTCCTTCATCTTCATCCTCCCTGTTGACTGCTAGTGAAGATGTAGGACAAGAGAAACACCTGCTAGTGGAAGAAAGAAGAATATGAGAGTGAGCCAAGGAAAGAGAACCTAATTCCTAGCAGTGCTACTCACTGGCTCCAGTTGAATAGCTTCAGCTTCCTGGCCCCTGTCTGTCACCTGTCAAATGCACAGGTGATACATAACCTTCTCCTAAATTCCTTTTAGCATTAAAGATTTACATTAAAAAATGACCAGAGTCTATGATTTTTGTGATTGTGGCAACCCCATATCAAATTACTTTCTGCAAGTTCTTCTGGGCTGCCCTAGCAACACTACCTAGCCGGATGTCACGTGCGAGCCAGGTGTTACCCTAATGCAGAGCCAATATCAGTCTGAAGGACTTGGTCCTTGGTTCACCTCATTCTTATCCAAAGCCACTCCCAGGGAAGGAATTAAGTGCCTGATGAAACTCTCATAAATGATAATCAATAATAAACAATGATCTCAAGTTAGACTATGCAACTGATACCTGAGCCATGGCTTGAGAGGCCTTCTAAGTCACTCAGCTTGTCTCTGGACACCTCTACCAGAACTCTTCTTCTCTGAATAGATTCTGGTCCCTAATCTTGCCATCACCACCTGCACACACAAACACACACAAACACACACACACGCACGCCTGTCTGTGCTCACATTTCTTCCCCACCTCCTCTCTGCCCCCGAGGCGCTGGTAAATGCCTGTGAAGTGTTAAAAACCAAATCCTCTCCAGATGGTGCTGAGATGTGTCTAATGTGTCTATGTGTGTGCAAAGCTAGGAAGTCTGGCTGAATTGTATTTGTTCCCATTCTACTCATGGGAGCTTGGCTTTATGCCTGGCACCTGACAAACCTACATTACTTGGCTTAGCATTTATGATCAGCTACATGTATGCAAGTGCCCAGTATTTCTTGTTTGGCTAATGCTAAGCCATAAACCATCACACCAAGGGAAATGTGCAGTATGTAAATAAGACAGTGTCTGTACATGTGGGAAGAAAGGCAGGGCCCTCTCCTGAGGCTTTGTCTTGCAATAAGGAGTAAAAGCTGAGCATTAATCATCCACATGTGAATTCAATATGGGAGGGCCATACCATAACAAGTAGCCAACCACTGTAGAAAACACCAGTGTCTGTCTTGCCCGCCTTTCCCCCATCCTTGAGCACCTGCTCCTTTCTCAGCTCACGTCAATCACGTGATACTCAAAAAGGCTGCCAATCACGGTAGCCTGTTCCCCTGGCTTTGACCATCATAAATCCAGAGGAGAATCAATCAAAATCCTTCCCAGAATTGCACTGGAAGCAGAAGATGCTACCAACAAGGAAGAAAACCTGTCTACAGGTGGGAAGAATGGATCTGACACAGAGAAAAATATCTGACACGGATGGAAGGAGAGAGGATGGGAAAAATGAATGTCTGAGCCATCCCTTTTCCATGTTAATGGTTTCCCTTTTTCATTTGGTTAGTTTGAGCTGGGTTTCTGAAATGTGTACTTCAAGTAACCTCATCCAGTCACAATCTATTCTTACAATGCATTCTCAAATGTATCTATCTTCCACTCCTCAGAACCTGGGTAGTTTTTATGAGATGGACTATCACACATGTGAAATGTCTTTGTTCCTCCTCACAAAAAAGGCATAAAAATTCCTGAGCAAGAGCCACTCTTACCATCACCAACTAAAGATGTTCTCTTTCTCTTTGTATCTGAGGTGCCAGGGGTGACCTGCTAACCACAGAATGCAAGGACTCTGTTATTTCAAGCCACGCTTGTAAAAATGGGGGCTGCCTAGACAAGCCAGGCAACCACCTGGCTGGTGAGTTTTGAAGAAGGATATCTTCACAGTGGCCAATCTTCACTCACCCTCTGCTGGCTGTTTTGAAAACCCTGTGTAAAAGAGTGGCATGCGATCAGGCCACCTGACTTCTTTCTATGGATCTTTTATGCTATTCAGTTTGGGAGGTAGGCTGATGCTGTACATGGGCTCTTTTTTAATGACTGAGTAGGATAACTCTGAAAGCAAAAAGCTTCCCTTCCTCTAACTCTAAAGAGTTTCCCACTGAGATATGAACCATGGCATTACACCAATTTGGAAGGGAAGCACAGGTAAGAGTGGTACCCAGGACACTGGTCCCACCTTTTTCCCAGCCACCCACATGTCCTCTGCCTGAGGCAGGAGGGTGACAGGTTATGGGAAGGCACTGATGAATGGCTCAAGTGTGCCGTTTTTTTCTGCCTGATTGAATGTTCCCCCTGTTTCCCATGCAGTCAGTGCACCCCAGGCCAGGAGGAGCTTGGCAGCTGTCTCCCCAGGGCATTAGAAAGCAGCCGTATCCCACAGTGGATTCAGCAGCTCCTCATCACCAAAACAAAAACACAACAGGCCCGATTGCCATGGAGAGTTCAATCCTCTTGTCCTGGGGTTGGCACTGACTGGAATTCCAAGAGCTCTAGCTGAGATACCTCCTGAGAGGTCTAAAAACAGCGCATTCAGTCCTAACCTAAACACACAGCCCCATAGGGCCAACAGCAAGTCTTGACCTCTAGCTGCCCGTTGGGCGGTAGCATTTCAGAGATGTCAAAGACATGATGCTCGGGTCATTCTGTGTTCACTGAGGCTGCCTAAACCATGGGAGATGTAACTGTCTTGTGGAGGACTTACTACAAGTGTGCTCCTAAACAGAGAAATACATGCTGGGGAAAGGGTAGGGAGGTAGAGGATGCAGAGGGGACAGAAGGAAGAGAGAGAGAGGGAAGAAAAGTAAGTAAGGACCAATGACCTACTCCTAGTCAATTAATTAAAAACCAGGGGCTCTTTCTAAATTATTGTTCCCACAGGAGCACAAATCTATGATTAAGGGACTTAGGGTTTAAGCCCTAGAATCTGGCAGATCAATGTTACCTTTAAGGTTGGGTGACTGTGAGCAAAATTACTGATTTCTCAGTTTCCACATCTCTAAAATGGCCCAAAGGACCATTTCAGTAAGATCATGGGCATCAAGTGCCTAGCACATAGAAGCTGTTCAATAAACAAGAGGTAGCAGAGATACAGGAATCAAAGTAGGATAATGACAAGTATTTGTTTCCCTCCCTCCACCTTGCCTTTAGTTTTTCTTCCTTGGAAAGAGCACAAGAAGAGTGGCTGAGGCCACCATGGTAAGATGGGCTCTCCCAGCCAGGATAAGCTGAGCATGTATAGGCAAAGGAAACCTTTAGTTGAGCAGAACAATGCAACATTCACACCCTATCTATAAGAACCTTAAAACAGCAAAATAAATTTCAGGCAACTTGCCTATCCCATGAGAGGAAGAAATGACTACGTGAGGGTGCTCCTTACCTTGGTGTTCGTACACGACTTCCCTCGTTTGTACTCTTTGTGGGAGCCACGCTTGTCCAATTTATACCACAGGGCTTTGGCCTTCCAGGTGGTCACCTTGGACTTGAGTTTGGAGTAAAAGTTTCTGTGGTCCAGAGGGTCTAGGTCTAGGAGGCGGATGAGGGTGTTGAAGGCCTGAAGGGTACCTTTGCACGTGGAAGCCTGGACAAAATTCTCAAAGACCTGCCCCGCCTGGGTTTGCTTCTCATCTTCATTTTCCCCCATGGTTCAGGAGCCGTGTGGAGAAGTGGTGTGGAGAAGACAGAAGGGATCACCATGAAGCACCTGGAGAAGCGTTCACACCTGCAGAGGTAGATGGAGACCTAGGTGAGCTTCGTGGGAGGTGGGGAAATGGGTGCTGAGATGAAAGAATGAAATTCCATTAAGGTACTAAAATGCTAATCTTAATTCTTAGTACTTAACACTAAACCTACACCATCTTTGGAACATATCCAATTATACCTTCTAACCTGGCATGGTGCCTTGCTGGCAACCTTCCTTCCCAGCACCTACCCACTCCTCTCCCTAGTTGTAAGAACCACAGATTGCACAAGCTATATATACACTGCAAATGTCAACAGGATCTGGTCAATTGTGCCAGAAGCCAGATGGCTGGAAATAGTGACTAGTAAAAGGGAAAAGCCAGCAAAGTCCACTGAAAACCTACCATTCTTGGTGCTGTAAGTTGGTTCACTAATATGACCTAACCACATTGCATTAGCACACAGACAACAATCCAAGATGTCCCTCTCTAGGTTCCATGACCAACCCACCTGCCCTGAGATACTTTAAAGTCTTTCTTCATTGATTACCAGAAAGCAGGACTTTCCCTTGTATAGGTGACAAACAGCAACTTCTCAAAACTTGTTTCTGGAATCTGCTGGAAGCTCACCATCTACCTCAGTAGATGGTGTCACATGGCCTCCTCCTCCCAATGGACCAAAGGAATCTATACTTTGTAATGCCAGGGCGTGAGCTGTTTAGAACAAGTGCTCAGGCTGATGGAAGGAAAAAAGTGATGGGTGTTCACTGACATCGTGAAAATAGCTCGCCTGGGTTTTGGCCCTGGTCCTTTCTCTCGGCACCACTCTAACCTCAGACATTTCTTAGGAAGTCATTTAAGTTTCAAAGAACAAAAATAAAGTAGACCTGATTTTCCCATGCACTAGCTGTTTTTTCAGAATCCAAAGCTAGTGTAAGAAGGCCAGTGTGGAGGGGCTAGGACGGGCCCAGCTTTCAGGAGGACTGAGGGGTCTGTAAACAGTGGGGCTTTGCAGACTGAGCTCCCCAACAGAGCCTAGCAAGAGGGGGTCAGCAAACACAAAAAGCTCCAGATCCTCAGGCAACTGCATACTTGCCAGATGGGAACATTTATCCTGGGCACATTCTCTACTAAAAGCAGAGAGTGGTACTTACCTTTTTCCCTAATCTATATTCATTCAGCAACAGTCACTGCTGCCTTAGCAACTGTGCACATCATTTTAGGTGCTGGGAATACAGAGATGAATCATGGTAAGGAAGACAGGGCAACAGAGATGAAGACAGGGTAACAGAGATGATGACAGGGCAACAGAAAAACACTTGTGGAATGTGAACAAAGCACATGGGACCCAGAACAGCAGGTGTCCAACAGAGCCTTGAGGAGGCTTTCCCGAGAGAAAAGTTCTAAAAAGCTCCCCTTCTACGGAGGAGGAGGGCTTCACTAGTGGACATTTCAGGCCAAGAAGACATCATAGAGAGGTGTGTGTGTCTGGAAGGAGCTGGTACAGTTAGTTGCAGTGACAGCAAGTTCAAGGCATCAGAAGTTCAGGATTGCTGAGGTGTGTGTCTGGGAGGGAGTGGAATTGGGTACAGGACAGACTGTGGTATGTGTCCCCTCTAGGGCAGGGGGTATTGACAGCTCCTGTACTGTACTTCCTTCCTCCCTCCCCTGCCACTGTGCTCAACTGAAGGGAGACCAGGTCATGACTCCTGCTGCAGGACACACAGTTTGCAGAGCTCAGCCAGGTTGACCTCCAGGAGGTCTTACCTGGGTGCCCTGGTCCATGCCATTCAACAAGCCCCCATTCTGGGAGGTCTGGCTCTGCCCAGCCTGGAAGAGACACAGATTCCTTCACAGATGCTCTGGGCTCCTCTGATATCCACGTGCTCCCTTTGGCATCCCTTGCATAAACACTGCTGCCTCTAGGTCTCAACTTTCCCCATGTGCCGTGCTTGCCACCCAGAGAGCACAAACGGAAAGCAGGACCCAATTGCTTTGTGGAGCAAATTAACATTCCCAGACTTTATCTATCTTTGGAAACACTTTGGTGCCAGCACTGAACACAGGGTGTAGTAGCTGGATGACAGATACAAGGCTACTAGGACTTGACTGCTATCTTGCAGTCCCTCCCGAAGACAGTCAAGTGGCCTTGGAGCTATGGGAGCCAGAGTCCAAAGTTCCGCTTAGTCCTTCCCTGCCCATGTGGCCTCCTACAAGCTACATAAACACAGAACAAGTTGCTGAGAAGAGGAAAAAAGATCCATGGATGATGGATGATGGAGCCTAGCTCTGGAGGCACACAACAGATGTGCTCGTGCCTGCTGCTACATCCATCCCACAGAGAGAATGCATCTGGGAGAATGCACCAGATTGAAAAAATAAGTTTTGCAAATCAGCTCTCTTGGTTGCCGACTTGTCTCAAATCACAACCATTTGGAGTATCAAGCTAGATTTGACTCCTAGACAATAATTTACAAACTGGAAGAACTTGTCTTCTCCCTTCAAAGAAAAATGAACCACTTAATCTTAGGGCTCCAGTGGAGAAGGAGCCAAAGTGGTGCTGAGGGTCCAGTGGGTGTGGGAGCCCCATGAACTAGTTCTTATCTAGGGTGTGATAAAGAGAGGTGGAGGGAGATGGCTGACAGGAGACAGGAGATAAGCACAGCATTGGATGCGTACCCCCACAGCTAGCTGTGCCAGGCTCAGACCTGCCTCCCTGGCTCTAAATAGACAAGTCTAAAACTTTCAAACTGGCTTGCTAGTTTAAGTCAAAGATCTTAAAGATGACTCTAACATCCATGGTGGGCAGTGTTCCTTATGGAGAAACATCAGAATATTCAGTCACACAAAACCGTGTGTGACCCTAGGCACATTATCTCATCTGTCTCAGCCTCAGTTTTTACATCTCTAAGACAGGAACAATCCTTCACAGGGAAGTAAGGAATAAATACTAGCAGGTATGTGATGTATTTAGCACCTGGTGGCTACATGATTACTAATGCTCATTACTGTTCTTTCAATGGAGCAAATGTCATCAAACCAAAAGGAAGGAGAGAAAGAAAAATAATTCATGACGACTAGCTTCCCAAAGCACTGGTGATGTGGCTCAGTAGTAGAGTGCTTGCCTAGTGTGTGCAAAGCCCTGGCTTCAATCATTAGTCCTAAAAAACACCCAAAACACAAGCAAACAAAATCTACCAGCCTAGCTTCCAGGGTCAAGGAATTATAGACATCTTAAAACTAGAGGACCAGCTTCCAATTCAGAAGACCTGGATACAAACTTCTTAGCCTTGTAGCCTTGGACAAATCACTAAACTTGAGTTGTGCGTTCCACATATGTTAAGTGGGAACCTCAAACAGTAGTTCTGGTAATGAACCGAAATGCACAGGTACAGTGCGGTGTTGGGAATGATTTATAGGGGCCTGCCTAGCACTCACAAGGATACAGTGAGTCTGAGCCTCAAGCCTCTGCTTCTAGGGAACTGGGGTTCACTACCTCTCATGAACATGCTTCTCTGCCCCCAGAGAAAAAAGCCATGAATGTGTTACATCCAAGGATTTGGCTGACTCTTGTTAAATCTGTCTCTGTAAGCACCACCCAGCTAGTGCCTTCTTGGAGTTTGATATGTAATAGAAATAGAACCAACTAGCCGGAAATGTGAAAGATTCTGCATTTTCTGGGAAGAAACAAGATGTGATGCTGTTGTTTCTAAGAATAGCCTTGAAGCGGTTTGGGTTTTGCCAACTGGAGTCCCTTATTTGTGGTTTTTTTGCTCCTCTGCCTATGTGACTTCATGAGTCACAAAGCAATTCCCTTCCCCTGTCTCTGGCCACAAATCTGAACATTCAGGGCCTTGGACTCTAGGTGACAGTGCTGGTAATGGGCTCAGCCCACAGCATCTGGGAGACAAGGTCAAGGTTTGTGCAGCGTCCCAGAGCACCTTCCAAAAAGAGACAGGGTCTCCAGAGCCTAGCTCTGCTTGTGCACTCACATTTAGGACTCACATACCTTCTGCCTCCCCTGAGCCTCATCCCCTCTCAAATGGCAGTGGTGTGACCAGGCCTAGAAGAAATGGTGGCATTGATAAAAACTCAAGGAGGCTTGAGAAAGGACACTGAGCAGAAACTTCCCATAAGATAACCATTTGGCCCAGGAGAAAAGCTCAGTCTCAACCTCCTTCTCAAGGCCCACAGACAAGATCTGTTTCAAGGTCAATGCAATCTAAGAACAAACCCTTGTGCTATTTATAATGCCAAGCTGCCCCATCCAAGTCTACTATCTCCTGGGTCTACATCACCATCAGGCTAACCAATGACATAGGGTGTCTGCCTTGCGCTCGCAGCGGGTGGGAAGCACTAACAGTTCCAGTGCTGAGCTTCACATGCAGAAGACACTTAGTCATGGCTACTTGAGCACAACACCTGAGGTGAGGCACAGCCCTTGGCTGTGGCTGCATCTCTGCAGTGGCTAGCATGACAGGAACCTTGGTTCACAGGGGACTTGCAAACCCCAGTTTCCCACTGGCTTTCCATCTACCTGGGCACTAGGCAGCCGATCTGAATCAAAAGGAGCAACAAGTTGAGAAGGGATGGAAAGGGTCAATTTGTCCTCCTTGTGCTCTTCTTCCAGCGAGGTGTCCCCAGGTTTCCCTCAATCACCTCCACAATGGAATGGACATTACTTCCTACACCACCTATTCTGGTGGCCACCTACACTCTGGTGGCCACCCAGAAGAGAGTCTCAGGAAGTCTTCTCAGGCAGCTGTCTCTCCAAAGGTCTCTGCTGCTTGGTCTCATCCTTGAGACCACCCACAGGAGGTGGATGCCCTTTCATGGCAGCTAAACCGACACATGTAGAACTCTCTCATTTGTGCCTGGAGCTCCTCTAGAAAAGCCCAATGGACAGGCACACAGAGGCCCACTGTGGAAGCCCTAACAAGGTCTCTAGCTGCTATGGGACCCGGACACCTTCTCTGTCACCCACCTGCCCCAGACAGGAGCACTGGAAGAGACTCCAGGCCCACTGCAGGCCCTGACCTTTTGTACCTGCTTCTCTACTGTGAGTCCAGTCCTTCTGACCTGTAACCCTGCCCCACTCTTCAATGGTGAGTGAAATCCACTGGTCTGACTTCAAGTGGCCTCAGACCTCCTCACTTCCTTGCCTCTTAGAGTCACTCACAGCGACAAGCCCTGGAAAGACCTAATGAGTCAGTCACTACCCACCAGGATCTTGCTGCCTATGTTGGGAGACACCTGGACACCACTCAGCCACAGAGCCAGGAAGAGGGTCACCCATCAGGTACTCTCACCTGTATTGTCCTAGGATTCCTCAAGACAAGTATGGGCTGGTTCGTTCTCTCTCTCTCTTTCTCTCTCTCTCTCTCTCAGAAGTAAGAATCTTAAAAAAGAAAAAGTCATTTCAGAATGTGTCCATCTCCCTTTTCTGTAATGCAATTATAATTTTGCCATATGTGGCTGCTATTTTATGTGTGCATGTAGATATGTGTATATATATATATATATATATATATATACACACACACACATATTATGAATTTTTAAACATTCCATGAGAATTTCTAACCATGCCCTACATCTAAGCCTCTCTTCAACCTTCTAGGAGAAGCAAAGAACTCTGGCCCAGTGTGAGAAGAGCTAGGCACAGCCTCGGTTGCCCCTGCCCCCTCAGCACTGCTTGGATACTCAGTGTGCCAGATGTATCTGTACCAGTCCCTTTGTAGCCAATGCCTCACTTAATCACCCTTGGTTGATGGGGAAGACAGAGATTTGGGGGTGATCAGTCTCTAGATAGCACACAGGTAATGAGAGGGGGTGCTGTGAGATAGGCCCAGCTCCCCCTCCTCAGAATCTATGCCCAGCCACCAGGCCACATGCGCTTGCAGAGGAAATGGCCTGGCCTGCCTCTTCTGAAGCTGCGGTATAAGCTGAATGGCTTAAGTTCTGTAGCCTCTGAAGTTTTGGGGCTTGGAGAGTCTACAAATGTCAGCCACAGGGTGTGTTCTCCTAAGTCATGATGAAACCCATCAACAAAAGATTAGGCAGTCCTTGTCTGTATTTCCTAAGTTTCTACCTGGAGCACACATGGTGTTTGTAACTCCCTTCCATGGACCGAGTCCAAGTCCAGGAATCTCCTCTCCCTGCCTGTTGGTCTCAGCACAGGAGGTTCTCATGCACCTCATTTTCCTCAGGCCCGAGAGTACTCAACACTCATGGAACTAGGCCTCCTAGGCCCATCCAGTTCCACAACACTATTTCCTATAGGAGACAAAGGGCCACCCTACACAAAGCCTTGCCACTGAGTTAACTAGTTAACTGACTTAAATTCTACCCTCCAGAACACAGGGCCCTCAAGGTCAGTATAGGAGGCCCTCTTCCAAAGAGCCATGCCCTTCCCATGGCAGTGTGGAATGGGGATGATAATATCACCCACCTCTATCTCAGTAGTGCCTGCAGGACCCCTGAAGTAACAAAATAAGCCAATAGACCAGACATGGTTGTGCACTCCTATAATTCCAGCACTCAGGAGGCAGAAACAGGAGAATCTCAAGTTCAAGGCTAGCTGAGCTATACAATGAGACCCTATCTCAAAAAAACAAATAAATTGAATAAACCAGTAGACAAAATAATACACATCTGGCTACATGCAGAGCCCACCTTACCTACAAACACTTGGCAGCCTATTCTGGATGCCCCAAAAAACTGTGTACTCAAAATTCCAGTTTTCAAGAGGTCAACTTGTCTCCAGATGGATAGAGGGAAGTATCCGCAGTAAGAAAGTTCAGAGACAGAAAAGAGAATGGCAGTTACCTGGGGCTGGGGAAGAGGAAATGGGGAACTCATGTTTAATGGGCAGAGTTTCAGGATGATGAAAAAGTTCTGTGGATAGATGGTGGTGATGGCTGCATGAAAACACAAATGCCTTAATGCTATTGGACTGCACACTTAAACATATTAAAATGGTAAATTTCATGTTATAAATATTTTTACCACAAAAGCAACAATAAAATGCATACAAAACAAAACCGACCACCAACTAAGAGTGGGAGTTGCTGAAGGCTAGAGCACAGAATGTGTGGCCTCATTAACAATAAGATTAATTTCTAAAGTACTGCTGAGCTAAAATGTAGTAAGCAAAATAAATCATTATGCTAATGAGGGAAGGTTTTAGTTGGTGAAGTACAATAATTTTTAACTTTTTTTCAAAGTCATCTAGGCCTCTCTTATTCTTCCCTCCAAATGTCATTTGAGTCCAGGAAGCTTCTGGACGCTCAGCCCCGGCCAAGTTCTCATTTTTTTAACTCTTGCTCTGCTTTCTGAGGCTCTCACCCCTGACACATCCTCCTCTTCTCCTACATGGCACCTGTGAAATCTTCTCCAACACTCCAGGGAAGCTGGGGGTACCAGTTTGTAGGTCTTAGCTTCCAAGGTCCAACATACATGGCCCTATCAGGCAGAACATTCCTGCCCCTGAGTTCCTATGGCCCTGTACAGTGCCACCAGCAGACTGCAGTCCCCCAGTTGCAGGCCATGTTTGACCCTGTGGGGAAACACGTTCCCTAAGAGCTCTTAGACTGGTCCAGATCAGCGCAGGTCTGTTGGGTGCCATCAGGCTTGAATAAGTGCAAACAATGACCATGTAATTAGACAAGCTCTGTCCCTCACATCAGGGCTTGGCATATTTTTTATTGAATAACATCCACTTTATGGATACTGGCTCTGAATCATTTTGATTCACTAGGAGAATCTTGTGGCCATGCAAAAATGCTTCCCATTTATAAAACAGTGTTGGCTCCATACTGTATTAAACTTGCTGCTCTTCAGCAGGGAACATGGACGTGAGCACATCTTTGCTCCGTAATTCCTAATCCTCCTGGCCTCTTCTCCAGACACACCCTCATCTCCCTACCCCTAACGCTTTCCCCAAACGGGTTGCCCTGATCTGGATTACAATCAGTTATTCTGTGTTGAAATTAAGTTTGTACTTCCCCGTTTCTAATCCCTAGCACAAGGCCTCTGCACAGTATGAGCTAAAGGAGTGAATGAATGTTCAATCTCTGCGAACATGATTGTTGACATTGAATGAGCATCTGTGACGTCTCAGGCAATGTGTTAAAGGTTTTATATGTATTGAAATGGTTAATTATCGTAACAAACCACGGCATTGCTAGATACTAATGCCACCCGCATTTTTCAAAGAATTAGAAAAGTCAGCATTTGCCCAACGTTACAGGGCCAGAGTGGTGAGCCTGTGATTGGAGGCCCCATAGCCTCAGAGGCTGTTCATCCTTAACTATCCCCACCCTGCTCTTACACAAGGTAGATGGAGCCAAAGTTATACAAGGACTACCTTGTACAACAAACCAAGCCTCGCTCTAGACCTTTGACTCATGATGTTCCCCAACCTTCTTTCATCAATTTCAAAACACCAAGATCTGTAGTAATGAGATCTTGAGGAATGTCGAAGGACAGTAGCTAACACACCAATAAACACTCAACTGAGAGATTACCTTCTAGCTATGGTGGACATAGCAATAGATAGGCTAGCTGACCTCCAGTCCGGTTGCTCTTTCTTCCTGGGTCCTTTCTTGCAGCTGTGTGAGCTCAGGTGACCAAGTTCTAGGTCATGGAACATGACGAGGAGAAACTGACACCACTGGGAGGACTGACCCATAAGAAACCCGTACACGATCCTCCATGCTCTTCCCCCTCCTCCAGAGCACAGCAGTCTTGGGAGCCACATGAAAGGTGGCAGAGCCACAGGAAGGAAAGAGCCAGGTTCCCCAGATGCACACTTGGAAAGCCCTTGATGACTTGAACACTTGGGGTTTTTGGTCTTTACATATATATGCAAAAAAAAAATTGTAGTATTAAAGTCACCGAGAATGGGGTTTATCTGTTAGGCAGCAAACATCACCTTCACAAACACAGTAGGTATTAGTGGTGGGCATGTTAAACTTGTCCTGTGTTGTCAGAAGGCATTCCCTCCAACAAGGTCAGTCACATGGGAATCAACAGCCCTTTTATACCACCACTGTCGTATAACGACACCAGTGTTGTTGGCACCGATGTTGCCAACTTCTAACAACAGGTTCTGTCATTTGATGTCTCAGCTTCCATTAGTGCCTCAATGTCCTGGAAAAGTTGCTTGGACCTCAGAAATAAGCCTGCCCACCCTCTAGGTAGGCACCCCCACATACACTCCCTATCTTGAAAAAACACATCTTTTCCCTATTTGAATGACGTAAGGAAGGAGACTGGGACAGAGAAGCTAGTTTATTTCCCTGGTTTCGATAATACCCAGATGCTTGGCTCCTGAGGCTCTGCAAGCCCAGGTGATGTGGTAGAAAGAATATGAACCTCCGAAGCACTAAGCTCTCCCTTGAGCAATGCAGAGCTTCTGTGAAAATTACATACAGGGGCTTCTCACAGGATTGGGCTCCCGATGTGCTTGGTAAGTGTCACAGCTGACATCCAGCAAGGGAATGACTCCCACGCAACCCAAGCTGAACCTAGGCCAAGACTGATGCGGTTCCACATGGAAGGAGAGGGTTCATTTCCACCATTCCACTCCCCTACCCCAAACCAACTTTCAGCCTCTGCTGAAGTGGCACAGCTAGAAGCGTACTTCTCCCAAGTCGCCTGGCAACACTGCTCCATTCCTGACTTGCTGAAATTAGGCCTAGGAACGTGAAGCCTTGAAATCAGTCTGAGGATGGAGAGGGATGTTGGTAAGAGGTCATAGTGCAGTGAACATGTCAAGGGCTTCACACTCACACCTGCTCTGCCGAGTGCACAGCACTGCGCCAGGAGCCCAGGGTGACCACAGAACTGTCCCGCTCCCGGCCATTCACCACCCACTGGTGTATGATGATCCGTCCTCTCAATGTCCTCTGCCCCCATTTTGAAGAACTGTGCCACTTGACTGCATTTTTCACTCCCCCCAAAGGATCTAGTGCTCAACAAGTTTTTTGTTGTTTCTGATTTGTGAAGTCCCTCCCAAAATGTGCCCAAATTCAATCTTAGTTAGATCTAAACTTGCCTTTATTGGAGAAAACAAAATTGTGCTCTCCCTTTTTTCCTTCCCAGCAAGGTCCCTAGGAGAATGTTCTATCACACACACACACACACACACACACACAATGCTTCAGGTCCATGTCATTACCCACTCTCTTTTCCTAAATCCAGTCTTCACTTACTAGGCTATGTTCTGAGATTTTGGTCTGTTGTAGAGTCTTTTTACATCTGCCCCTAAAAGTGAAGGTTCCTACCTTTGCCCTCCAGAACCTCGGCTGTCCTACAGTTAACCCGAAGCCTGGGTCTGGATGACTCGCTGGTTACAGCTCCCGTGTACACCTCTAGACTGCATTCCAGGCCATA